AAATTTTCAAAACTAGTTTTAATAGTTTTGAGTTTCGTTAGTTTTAAAACTTATTAGTTTCGGATAGCAACATTAGCTATGAGTAATTGTATTTTATCTCATTCAACTAAATTATTAATATAAAATATTACTAAAATAGCATAAGAGGATAATATTGGTTATACTGCAGCATTCTATGGATAAATTAATGTTAAATAAGAACTTTTATTTGGTGTTATATTAATTATATCACAGAGTAAAACTCTTATTTGATAAGTTCAACATATTAGTTCCTGTACTAAAGATGTTATAAATTATATTAAAACAATTATGAATAATGCAAAAAATAATAATATTAAGCTTAATTGTTTTTTGTCTGATTCAGCTGGCGAATATGCTGTTATCTGATAAGCCAATTAATTTTTTAATAATTTATTTAAATTATAAATTAATTAAATTATACACGTTGAATATTCAAACAAAGTTTTATTACCATGCATGACACATCAAATGAATTTTGTAGTTGGCGAAATTTTTAAAGAGTCAAATACATATCAGCAAACTTCTACTAAAGCTATTAAAATAGTTAGTTATTTTCATTCTTCAACATATTTTACAGATCAACTGTGAAATAAATAAAAAGTATTATATAAAAAAACTATAGCTTTAACTTTACCTGGAGAAGCCAAATAGAATATTTTTATTTTTGCTTTCATAGCATTTTAAAATCTGAAGCTACTTTAAAAGTAAATTTTTTTATTTATTTTAAAAATTTAAAATTTTAAATTTATTAAAAATTTAATAATAATATTTATTTTTTATATTAGACTTTAATTACTAAATTTTCACTAGAACATATTGGCAATTTTAATACATTATGAAGTAGTCATATATGACAAAGAACAAGCTCAACACATGAATAACTCTTTCTTTCACCAGAAATTATTACTATTATTAATGATTCACTTTTTTGGAATTATTTATATGAACTTCAAGACTTAATTTTACCTTTATATGCTATTTTAAATAGATTATAAAAAGATATTGCTCATCTTTATGAAGTTGTTCTTTATTGGAGCGCTTATAAAAATTTTTTCTGAATATTAAAATAAATCATTTGGTAATTAAATGATAATAAGACTTGAATCACGTTAGAAACAATGGGAGCAAACATTTTACTTTTAACATTAATTTTACATCCTGAATATTGTATTTCTAAATTTAATAAGAATGTAACAAATCTTACTTATACTCATTTTGGTCAGTAGATTAACTATTATTTTAATGTTTGGTTTAATAAATCTTCAACAAAAATTTTACATGAATATCTTCAATATCAATGAGAAATTTATTCTTTTGATATGATTATATTTGCTTAACTTAATTATAATATAATTGATTATTGGGATTCTGCAAAAAGCCAAACTCCTAAGTTATCTCAATTCACTCTTTATTTATTTGGAATATGTATTAATTCAGCTTCAGTAGAAAGACTTTGGTCTAATATGGGATTTTTACATTCTAAATGAAGAAATTGTCTTTATGTAAGTTTTTATTTTATATTTAAATTTAATTTTCTAATTTTATATTATTATTTTATTAATTTTTATATTATAAATATTTTGTATTTTAAAAGTATAAAAAGGTTTTAAGAATATGTCAATTAAGAAGTGATATATTATATACAAAAAAACAAGTAGATATCAAAAATACTGAAAATAAATATTGTCAAAGCAATATAGCAATACCAATTGAAGAGAAAAATTTTAGAGAAAATGAAAATACTGAACAAGAAATAATAAATAATATAGTATTTAGCAATGATGAAAAGTAAATGAATCCAATTTATTAGATAATAATGAATCTGATGCTATTAATTCGTTAAATTCTCTTTTCACGCATAGTAGGCATACAGTATAAAATAAACCCTTTTCCCAGCACATTTACGCAAAAGATTGCATATGAAAAAGAGTCAATAGTTAATATCTAAAAAAACTTGATCTACCAATAAAATCTCTTAATAAAATTACTATGCATCACTCTATCTATATCATGCCTGGTTTAACATTATTTAACTTTTCGGGAAGCATGCCATTTTTGGCCTTATCCACTGTTTTTTCGTTCGTTATTTCAGCGTACAACTAAAAATCGCCAATGATCTTTCTTCACAAGCAGAACTCGGTAAAATATATGCCGAATTTTAAATTTACTGCAAAAATCGGAAAAATTAAGACGCGTGATAATGATTTCACCAAAGAGGCGCAGAAAATCTTATTGATGGTTAGTAACATAACTGTCAGACTAAATACCATTGGAGAAAGAAAGCTTGTCATAATAGTTTTGGCAGATTTACAGCTGATTTCACCTCAAATGCTATTGTTCGAAGAATCGAAACTGATCAGCTGAATGTGGCTAGCCAATTAGAAACATCAAGTCAGTCACATGCAAGTTCGTCTGGAAGTCAAACCAGAATTAATATTCCATTTACGTTTTCATAACAAGGTATTAGCCTAACTATCTGGAGCCAATTTAAACAGCTTTTCGATAAAATAAGGAACAAAAAAGGATTTAATTTGGAGGAGATTTGTTTTCCATGTAGCGGTGGAAATTCGTGCACTTGGAGGAAAAATCAAAAAAAATATTATTCAAGGGTTTTATGAGAAAAATATCAAGAATAGAACTTGTTATATTAGCACTGGTTAATGGATGATAGATAGTAAAAATAATGAAATCTTAGATAGTAATGCGAAGTAGCGGAAAGGAACTCTCATTTTATGGGTTAGGGCTCGAGTGATTCCTCCCTTAAACATCCGCTACTCCATTTATTAGCTTAGTTGATTGAACTTTTTACATTGATAATCTAATTTATAAAAATAAAGATGTGCGTGCATATTTTATTACAATTGATTAAGCATACTGCATTCGCAAATATAAATTTTATATTACTACAATGTAATCTAATAATACATGCAGATTTCACATACACTATTATTTTTTTATTTGATCATCTGAATATAATGCTATTCTGTTTTAATTATTAAATAGAAATATTAAAATATTATCTGAACTGAAAATTCATCAAATCTTCTTGATTCTTCGGATTTACTTTATAGCTGAAATAAAAATTCTCATATTAGAATGTATTTGTTTCAAACTTATTGTGTAAGTTACGCACCTAATTCTTTCCATTAGCCTATTAATGTCTGGCCCAAAAACATGCTCCATATTACGATCATCCACAATAATCACAAGATCATCATATTCATTTAATCGAAATAACTCTGATCTTTCACCTTTTCTATATGGAAGCTCCACTGAAACATAAATATGTTTTCGATTCTCTGTAGAAGTTTTGATTTTCTCGTGATACTCTGCGCGCTTAGAGACCTTAGATATCTGGTAGTTCTTGGTATTTTCGGCATAATTCAAATCATAATTTAAATCTTTCTTCTTCTTCTCCTTCTTCTTCTTCTTCTTTTCCTTCTCCTCTCTTTCTAAGTTAGCTGTGAAGTCATCCGGTAAAACATCACTACTACTAAGACGAATTTGGAGGCGTTTTGGTTCCTTATAAGAAAATTCTTCTTCATTTTTATTATTTTTTGGATATTCCATATATTGAAACCTCATACATGACTTGATTAACTGTTCTTTGACTTTACTTTTCTTAACAGGACTACTAGAAACTGTACAGCTTGCCGATAATAGCACCATATTGTGGTTTTTATCTGCAAGATAAATCACCACGTCTGATCCTGAGTATATGTCCGGTTGAATTGCATAAGAAGAATAGGATTTATCATTAACATATTTGACAATAGGAACGTTTCCTGATAGATTTGAAGTTGTAACAAACTTCATCGTGGGAGTGATCCATGAAGGAAGATCAAATTGTTGTCCATTTTTCCATTTATTAAGTTCTTCTCGTACATTAAGCCCAAATTTATGAATTATTGCTGTAATAAAGACCGCATCAAATTCATTGCCAATTGATGAAATGTTATTGAGCGTGATAATGTTGTCAACAAAGACACCTATCAATGATCTTTGTGTTTTTTTAAGATATAATACAATGCTGTTGATAAGGTAAGATTCAAGTGATGGGTTTATTTCGATTGTAACAGAATCTTCATCATCAAAGCCAAAGTAAGATTCAAGCGATGGTTTTATTTCAGAATCTTCATCTTTAGAGCCAAGAACAATGCATTCTGGTGACTTGCAAGGAATGATGCTATGCTGGAGAAGTTTTATAGCTTCCTTGTAATTTTGATTATAAAAAACACGAAGTCTAAGAATATCCATAATTGCTTTCTCTGGATCGACACGATTTACACCAAAATATTCACACGCAGTTTCCAAATATTTTGCCATATCAGAGCAAATGCGGTTATACCAAAACGGAACAAGTTCTTTTAACACTTGATTTTTCGTTATACCAATTGATCTATTCTTTGATGTTAATAGCCGAACAAATAATGCACAGTTTCGAGGTCGCCCCTGGAGAACATATCCTAAGAGGTTGCGAGTGTTGGGCGTAACATGCGTCAGATCAATTACGGCATCAAGGTTACGCAAAACATCATCATGTGAGAGAAAGGGAAGTTGTAGCACAATATGAGCTTTCCTTTTTGGGTCTTTTCCAACAGAAGTGACAAGAGAAAGTCCGCTTGCCATATGCATGTATGTGCCGGCAAGAAGGCAGGTAACCGGATGTTGGTTAAGATGTGCTAAATAACCTTGCAAAAGATTCCATTTTTTGCCACGAGTACTCCCTTCATATTTTCCATATTCGGGCTTACATAGGACTTGTGCCTCATCAAATATTAAGACTAGACGATTTATTCCGAGAAAATCATTAATCTTTGTGATAAGTGTAGTAATAGAAAGAGTATTATATTTTTCAAAGCCCAAGATATTTCGGATTTCAGAATCATTCATTTGAAGCTGTACAAACAACCAATCCTTTGGTGTTGAAATTTTTCCCTCAGTAAGCATCTTAACAAGTAATAGTCCGCGTGAGACTATCGCCATGTCCAGTATGTTAAACACTTCATTTTGTTGATCAACACGTTCAAACTGAGGTTTTATACCTCTGATTTTTTGAAGCTCTGGTTGCAACTGGCTGCCTTTATAACACCCTGAGTTAGGAGAAAAATCAATATATATTGACCAATTTTCTATAGCAATTCCAAATGCTGTCGATGTTTTTCCACCACCTGAAACCCCAGCAAGCACAATTATGTCTCCCGGGTCTTCTTTAATCTTTTTTTGCACAAGAGAAACTATTTTTATGAATTGTGGATCATCATAAAAGAGATTGTGATAGTTCATTCCGGATTTACTATAGGAAGGGAGACACAGATCAATTGTTTTTGAAGTCTCTAAGGTTATTCCACGGGGAAAATTTACTTTGAAAAAAGAGGGTTCCTTCTTTAGTTCAACATATGGGTCGTTTTGTTGGCCTGGAGAGTCACTATCCACTACCTCAACGTCCCAAATCAAGGCGAGCGCGTCAATAAGCTGTTCAATTGAAGAAGTTTTTACGCGTGGGAAGGCCTTTATAACTAAATAACAAAGTGAACGTGAGCGAAAAATCATTTAAAAGAGCCAAACTTCTAATGCAACGAACCTTTGTTTTTAATTTCAATCTTAACTTCGTCAGGAATGATGCGCATCGACGAAACTAATGCAGTGAAAAAAAAGAAGTTAAAACACTTGAAATCCGCCTGTTGTTGTCGATCGTAGACTTAAGCCTACAAAAAAGCCATTTTTGTTCGAGAGGTAAAATCATTAGGAGACACTCACCAGTAGTGGCCGGAGGTTGTACGATGATGCGGATGTTTTTGGAGACATTACGCGCAAAAATGTCATCAATATTCTCAAATGGTGTTAACTTTGTTCCTCCAAGCTCTTGTATAGTAGTATTTTCTTCATTTATATCACGAGATCTGCTTTCAAGTGTTTTCAGTTTAGGGTTATTGTAAGGAATATCCACCTTCCATAGGTACAACTTGTTGGCGTCAACATGTATTTCTTTGAAATAGTTCTTATTCTTCTCATAGATTATGTCCCTTAGGTTTGAAACGCTCGTTCCTGCCTGACATGTAACTTCAAAAGCGCTCACAATTTCGTTACCTACCACAAAACAATATGCCATGATATTGGTGGTATATCTGCAAACGAGTTAAAAACAAGGGTCAAAAAATCAACCTTTCAATAAAATATCAAATAAAGACCTTTTTGTATATTTTGTATACAACCTTGTATTTTCAGGTGGGAAAATTTCCTCGATTTCAGTTTGAACGCTTGATCGATATCGATTCATACCGATTTATATTAAATAGGCAAGACGAGTGATGAAATGTTCTAGATACTTCGATCAGGAGTTACGTTTTTGTGTGGTATAATGATGATCTTGGTGAAACTTAGGTGGGGGTTCAGTTCTCGCTGAATCGGTTATCTTATTTAATTACGTAATTATGACAAAGTCCTCACTATAAATAATACTGTTCGAAAAATTTAAAATGTTTGGTGAAGCCCAGAAAAAAATATAAATTCCAAGTTATGACTGAATTTTGTGCGCAGATTTGTGATGAATTTGCTATGTTGGCCGAAATTTAAGAATTTTATTATTTAATCTAATGAACAACGCTTTAAACTTTATGGCAAAAATAGGGTCATTTGAATTCGTTTAATCATTCGAATATTGAACGTATAAAATGACAAAATAATTAAAAAAAAAATTACAGAGCAATCTGGGGCTATTTATAAAGAATTTGGTGTGGGAGATCTTATGTGATAATTTAGCCGTTACATTGGCTCGGAACTAATTTAACCGAATCACGAAAAAAATTATGAATCTACAAGAAGACGTAATCAAATAAAATGAATCCGATATTTTGTTATCATATACTTATTACATTCCGCTACAAATCGTTGAAATTGCTATAAATCACTAAATCGGCTATAAACATTTATAATCGTAAAAATGGTTAGAACTGACCATCGATATGGTTTAAATCCTGTAGTAGCACAAGCGATAACTAATCTGCATTACAGATATATTGATGAAACGCCAAAAATGTGGTATTCCTGTATTCGTGTTCCATTTAGGAAACTTATCGAAAATAACCCAACATCCTTCTCAAAGAATGAATATATTCATATGACTGAAAGATTATATGAAGATGGGAAATACAGACCTGGAAGGCCTACATTTTATATTTATTGCATTGCATGTGACTCCTTAGTATTGCTAAAATAGAGGAAAGGCGTGTTGCATACTATAGATCTATATTATGGAAACGAAAAATTAATAGAGTACTT